TTTATTAGTATATGGTATGACTAGTATGAAACTACCAAATTATATGTATACTTGTTCAAAATGATTGAGTTCTTTTATGAAAAAATGTCACTTAAAATGTTGTAATTTTTCATATAAAGATATGTCTATTAAATATAACTATTTGTATAGACATGAATATTTGTGAATAGTCATTTGTCATATTTTGTAAAAGAAGCATTTGGACTATATTGCCTTTATTGGACCCGATGAGACTTTGTTCAAGGGTAGTTCTATAACAATCAAATTGAAAGTTATGGAAAGGTCCTTCTGAAAAGGACATTTGACAAGGTGTTGACTCTAGACAATGTTTGTATCTCACAAAATTGTAAGAAGTCGGAACATAATATTTGTGAGAAAAAGCTACCTCGCGGAGAGCTTTTCAAACTCAATATTTTTATTTGTTCTTACTTGCTTGAGTCAAACTGTTTGTGACATGAACACTTGGGGCATGTCAATTACAAAACCTTGTAAGGAAAACTGATCAACTTAGAAGTTTTGTCTAACTTTGAGTGCAATAAATAAAAATGTCAAGTTTGTGTGGAATCTAAGTATGCTGAGCATTCTTATAAATCTGATTGAAAGGAATTCTAATCCCTTAGAGTTGATTTACACTGACATTTGTTATATGAAGTCAACACCATCTTGTGGTGGGAAAAAGTATCTCATAACTTTTATTGACAATTGCATTTGATACAGTTATGTTTATTTGCTGAATGGTAAGGATGAAACAATAGAAACGTCTAGGCAATATAAAATTGAAGTTGAAATCATTTCAGAAAAAGATAAGAAGTGATAGGGATGGAGAATATAAATTTCCTTTTGCAGAAATATGTCTGGAAAATAGATTTATCCATCAAACTACTGTCCTATTCACCTAAATCTATTGGGATTGCATAATGAAAAAAAACGAACTTTGAAGAAAATGATGGCTACATTACTTATAAGTTTAGGTTTACCACAAAACTTGTGTGGAGAAGCTATCCTTAAAGCAAAAGGGAGCAACAAATTTTTTTGTATTTTCAGAAAGAAAGCAATAAAAAGTTTTTTTTGTTCAGGACACAATCTATTCCATATGAGAAATGGAAAGGGAGGAAATCCAACTTGAAATATTTCAAAGTGTTGGGGTGTCTAGCCAAAGTCCAAGTTTCTATTCCTAAAAGGATTAAAATAAGATCTAAGACTGTGGACTGTAAAATTAGACTTGAGTAGTCTAGTGAAAGGTCTAAAAGACCTTGGAAATAACAAAAGGAGAATGTACTTAATAAAGAGATTCAGAGGCGTAGTAAATGCCAATGGACATCTACTTCCTTCAGATATGATTTTGTAACATTTCCTATGTTGTATGTGGACTCATCCTTTTGGAAAGATGGTGTCAATAGTGAGATTGGTTCAATCTTGAGCAATCCTATTGGAAGTTGGTTGATCTTCCTCCAGGAAATAAACCTTTGGGTTCAAAGTGAATCTAATAAAGTCGATGGAGCTGTTGGCAAATATAAAGCAAGTCTTTTTGTTAAAGGCTTTAGACAAAAACATTATATGACCTCCAAATTCATCAAATCAATGTGAAAACAACTTTCTTGAATGGAGAATTGGAGGAAGAAATTTACATGGAACAACCCGAAGGTTTTGTGGTTCTTGGTAAAGAAAAGAAAGTGTGAGAACTTGTTAAGTCACTCTATGGACTAAAACAAGCACCCAAACAGTGACATAAGAAATTTGACCAAATCATGTTGGCAAATGGATTTAAGAATGATGAAAATGATAAATGTGTTTACATTAAAATCACAAGGTCATTGTTTGTTTGTATATTGATGACATGTTGATCATTAGTAGAGACATTAGTGATATAAATGCTACTAAACGTATGCTAGAAAGCAAGTTTGATATGAAAGATCTTGGAGTTGCTGTGCAATCTTAGGTATAAGAATCCTTAGAACTCCATAATGTTTAGCATTGTCATGGTCTCATTGCATCGAAAAGGTACTTGACTAGTTAAAATATTTGAATTTCAATATTGTCAAGACTCCAATAAATGTGGGCTTTGCATTTTAAATGAGTGAAGATGAAAGTGACTCACAATTGAATTGTGCTAGAGTATTGGGAAGTATGGTGTATATCAAAAAGTGTACGCGATCAGATATAGTATGTGCTATTAGTAAACTGTCGGTTCACGAATAATCCCAATCAAACTCATTGGATGGCAATGAAAAGAGTTTTGGGGTGTTTAAAACATACTCAAAACTATTTCTTGCATTATAACAATATCCAGTAGTATTGAAAGGATATAGTGATGCAAATTGAATCACCGGGATCAAATGAAGTAAAATCCACGAGTGAATTTGTATTTACTCTTGGTTGAGGAGAAGTCTCTCGGAAATCTTCCAAAAAGACATGTAACACTAGCTCTACAATGATCTCTGAGCTAGGTGCTCTATATAAGGCCGGTGAATAAGTTGAAAGACTCCGGAATTTCTTGATAGATATTTTTTTTGGCCCAAACCTTTGGCATCAGTCTGCATACACTTTGATAGTCAAGATGCAATATGTAGGGCATGTATCATGATGTATAACGGAAAGTCTTGTCATATAAGACATAGATATAATACCGTTAGAAAACTACTCTCTAGTGAAATTACTTCAATTGACTATGTAAAGTCAAAGGATAATGTGTCGGGTCCACTTACAAAAAGACCTAACTAGAGAGAAAGTTGAAAGATCATCTAAGGGAATGAGTTTACGGCTTAGGACAAGTCATTATGGCGGTAACTCTATCTAGCAGACTAGAGATCCCAGGATCTAGATTCAAGGAGAAAAACAAAGTTGTGACTGACGGTTCGACATTGTCAATCAACTCAATCCATTCTCATGATGAAGACAATGTTCAGGAATGAGGTTAAAACATTAAGGCTTGTTAATGAGTTAATAAAGCTTAAAGTTTTTAATGATTTGCTAAGTTTGGCAAATTTGACCAAATAGTGTATCTACGAGATGACACGATTATAAATCACCTATGTGAGTGTGAAGTATAAGCCGCTTCAAAGAGAATTTTTTGTCAAAAGCCTATTCTCTATACACTCATGAAACCAGGAGGTGCTCATGGCTGAAACGAACACAACCGTAAGAACCATAAACGGTAAAGGGTTAATTATGTGACATATGGTTGTCTAGGTATACACCAAAGCTCGACGATTCAAAGATAGCGCATCTACCGATTGACCGAGTATATCCAACATATATTCACTACGGAAAGTCCAAGGGGAAACTTACTTATCCAGATGCATTTAATTCTTGCTTGTAAAGTACACATACTTGTCCGCTTCTTTGTCTTGGAGTCATTCCCCATTCATACGGGGGATTGTTGGAGTTTTAAAAGGTGTGAATGGAAAATGAAGAGTTGCGACTTTTATGAAGAGTTGCGACTTTTATGAAAAG